TTTCTTAACCTCTAGTGAGATTTGCTCACACAGGGCCTGTGCACTGATGAGTTAGTTTTTAGTCTTCCTTTTGCTGAAAAGCTTTTTAATAAACCTAAACCCAGTTGTAATTGAGAGTACCTGATACAGAAAATACTAACTTAATAACGCGAATTCACATTTACATTGAGGATCTATATGAAGTTTGTTTGTTTATTTCTAACTTAAGTGATGAAATGGAATTATAAGTAGCTTATATATAGGCTGATCAAGCTCAGGAATCGTGTGACAGGCCTTTCTCATCTTACGGATGAGGGAGCTCAGCCGCGGAAGGTGACTCACTCAGAGCCACAGTGAGAGTCAGAGTGAACTGTGCTTCAGCGAAGCAGAGACGGCTGTACCCAGCTTCTCTTCTTGCCTCCGATGAACAAATCCATTTAAAGTTAACTTTCTTCATTAGCTATATGAATAAAAGACGAATAGTACAAATAGTGAGAGATATTTTTAAAAAGTAGATACTTATTCATTCACAAGGGTTCATTTTTGGATCTGACTATCCAGATTTGAGACTAACACTGTGTTATGTCATATCTTTTTGTCCATAAACTACATGACTAAACATTTTAATGCATAAATGAATATTAAGTGATCTCAAATGAGTCTGTATGAGAATAAATTTATTCATGAATTTATTAAAATCAATTCTGGAATACTTGCAGAACCAGTTTAACAAATCTGTATGCACTTAAGGGAATTTCTTGTACATGTTTTAGAAAGAATAACTGCACAATTGGGTGATCTCTTTAATGCACGGAAACCGGGGCTTTAAGAACCAGCAGGAGCACTGCAGTGACAGGCCGGTTTCCATAGGAGAGGCTGTGTGTGTGTCTGTGTGTAAGTCACACTTCCCTGTCTTTGGTGACGGGAGAAGAATGGCTGCACTGTTGAGTTGTGGATGCTGGTTTGTTGGCGAAATGCACACAGAGCCACGTGACCTTCCCATTTTCCGACTAATTTTCTATCAATTTTACCTTGTTAGGCTGAATTTAAACTCTTGTTCATATTCCATGGCCCGCATGCCAGCTCAGGAAGTGGTTTGGGAAGTGCTGGTGGTAGGGAATGGTGAGGGGAAAGGTTACAGTGGATAAAAAGCTGCTCTTTGAGAATCTGCACTCAGATAAATGAGGTTTAAAATGTGTCGCTGGATTTTCTGTATTTTCCCATGTCCTAAATTAGAAAAAGTTTGAGTAGATTGCGTGAAATACGTGTCATAATTATATATTTCTGGCACAGATAAATCTATTTGGCTCTTATTGTATGTTGTTAAGGATAGTATAGGTGTCCTTTCAAATTCTCTTTGATTATGAAGCTAATTATAGACATTCTTTATTGTTTTTGGTTCGTAACAGTTTTCTTAGCCTAACTGATAATAATAGTTATCATAGGTAGGAAAGAAAAAAGCAATTACTTCTGTTGTTGTTAATCCTCACCTGAGGATATTTTTTCCATTGATTTTTAGAGAAAGTGGGAGGGAGAGAGGGAGGGAATGGGGAGGGGAGAGAGACAGACAGAGAGAGAGAGAGAGAGAGAGAGAGAAGAGAGAGAAACATTGATGTTGAGAGAGACACATCGATTGGTTGCCTCCCGCTTGCGCCCCAACCAGGCCGGGGATGAACCTGCAACCCAGGTACATGGCCTTGACCGGGAATCAAACCCGGGACCTTTTGTGTGTGGGCTGACGCTCTAACACTGAGCAACACTGGCCAGGGCAGAAAAGCAATTACTTCCTATGGAAACCTTTAACATCAGAATTTGTCAGGCTTTTAAAAAGATCTTCAATGAGTCATTTTTTAGCATATTCCCTGTCAAGATCTGGAGTGACAATAATACCTAATATTGCTAAATAAAATTATTTTGTTAATTTTTTCCATCATTACTTTTGATTTATTTATATATTTATTTTTGACTTTAGTTAACAGTTGGCCAGTGTGATTTTTATTTTATCCTCACCTGAGGAGATCTATATCTATATATATGGTATCCCCCCAAATGTATACATATATTAATATATTTATTGATTTTTAAGGAGAGAGGACAGGAGAGAGAGAGAGAGAGAGAGGCTGGGAATGAACCCGAACCCGCAACCTTTTAGTGTATGGGATGATGCTCCAACCAACTGAGCCATCTGGCCAGGACCAAACTATGCTTTTTTATAGGCTTTTTTATAAGATTTGTTATAGGATATTTAAAAAGCTTATTCTTGAAAGAAGGAGAAGAGATTAGCCAAAGAACATACATATATGCATAGCCCATGGACACAGATAACAGTGTGGTGATGGCCAGAGGGAGGAGGGGTGGGGGTTGGGCGGAAATGGATAAAGGATTAGAAAATGGGGGACATCTGTAATAGTGTCAACAATTAAAAAATATATATATGTTTATTTCTAAAAAAAACAATGTAATTTAGCGTTGTAAGGTTGACATGGACCTGCTCAAGCTCTTTTGTGATGGGAAATACTGTTCTAAAATCAGATAAAACCGCCCTGCCTCTCTCTCCCTCCCTTCCTCTCTGAAATAAATAAAAAATATATTTAAAGAAACATCAATGATGAGAGAGAATCATCGATCGGCTGCCTCCTGCATACCTCCCACCGGGGATTGAGCCCATAACCTGACCGGGAATCAAACGGTGACCTCCTAGTTCATGGTTTGACACTCAACCACAGAACCATTCCAGCAGGGCTATCATTACATTTTTTGAAAAGATTTTATTTAGAGGCCTATGCAAATTCAATATTTCCAAATCTTGGAATTTTATTTTAACTTGCAATTTTATATAATAAAAACTTAATATGCAAATTGACCTAGCGGTGGAACGACCGTCGCTATGATGTGCACTGACCACCAGGGGGCAGACGCTCGACACAGGCGCTTCCCCCAGGCTGCAGGCCCTGACTGGTGGTGGTGGCGGCGAGTGGGCAGCGCCAGGCCAGCCAAGGCTGGTGCCAGCGGGGGCCCCGCCAGTTGCCCCACAGATCGGCCCTGATTACTGGCTAGGCCTAGGGATCCTACCTGTGCGTGAATTTCGTGCACCGGGCCTCTAGTTATATAATATAAATAATATATAGTGAATGTTCTCACTAGGATGAGGCCTTATATATAGATATGTTTGTGTGTGTTTTCTGGACACTTGCCTAGAAGTAAGTCTTGCTTTTGGGCTTATTCCCTCTGTGCTTTGTTTTGTGTCTAGAACTGAGTTTACAATCTATGGGACCACTCTTACACTTTCTGCAACATTGAAACACACAGCAAAGCCTTTTAGGTGGTGGATTTGGGAACTGGAGATGGGTTGGCTTCTGATGTTATAATGTTCTAAATGTATTTCCTTTGTGCGTATTTTATGACTGGTGGTGTCACAGCTTGGTCTTACGGAGAGCTAAGAAGAAATAATGATTGAAAAAGGATGCCTTTCATACTTGTATCACAGGATAAAAAAGTGGGAGGACAGTGTTTGGGGACAAAGATGAAGAGGGTGACTACACTTCCTGCTGTGTGTATTTCCTTTCCGTAGTAAATTCGTTGGAGAGAGGTAGACAGTGGAGGAGAGTTTGAAAGGAGAGCCTGCCCATGAGTGTCTTGAATCATAGTAAATTTTGTCTTTTTAAAAGTTTAGGTTGGGGGAAGACTGTGTTCATTGAGATGGTTTATCCGCAGAAATAGATTGACTACATCAGGAAAAGGAAGATCGGCAGGTTGCTCACTTAGACTTGAGAAAAGACTCTCCGTGGGCCTTCTAGGATGTAGTCATAAAACGGTCCTTTCCAACCATTGTCTTCTGATTGGCCAGACTCAGTCCTGTGCCTCTGGGCATTGGGTGAATGAGGGGAGACAGAAAGAACAGTCCGGGCAGACAGAAGCAGTGGCCGCTGCACCATGCGACGAAGGGTTGCTATTGGACGTACATTTACCTGGTCAAGCTCATACGTCTCTATCCTTATGTGCTGGGCGTTCAGTTTATTGTAGGCCTGTTGGCTCTTCTCACTGCATTACTCTGTATTTCCTTGGCCATTCAGTCACAGTTTTACCTATAATAGATTACACTTGTTAATTTCAGGTTATGTTTGAAAATTGAGAACCTGATACTCTGTAAAGATGGTAATGTACATGAGCACAGAGAACTGCTCTTCGCTAATTCAGGGGACACGTCTGTATTTTTCATGCCAGCCCAGCCCAGGTGTAGCTCGGTGTGGACATGGCTGTCCACAGTGATTCATGAAGAAGCAGCACTTACCCCAGGATGAGGCCCATACTCACAGTATTTGGTCAAGAAAGGTGACTTCATTTGCCTGATAGTAATGTAACCTTTTAAAAAATATATATATACCAGGTATATATTTTTATTGATTTCAGAGAGGAAGGGAAAGGGAGAGAGAGAGAGAGAAATATCATGATGAGAGAGAATCTTCCACCGGCTGTCTTCTGCATGCCCTCTACTGGGGATCGAGCTCACAACCCAGGCATATGCCCTTGACTGGAATCGAACCTGGGACCCTTCAGTCAGCAGGCTGATGATGCTCTATCCACTGAGCCAAACTGGCTAGGGCAGTAAACCTTTTTAAAATGGGAATCTAATCATCTCACCTGACCTCTCTGTTTATTCTTTTTAAAGAATTATTATGGGATCTGACTTGGAAATTAAGATATGTGGAATATTTGAAAGGGTTATAAGACTTGAAATCAGAAGACCTGATTTGATTCTCAATGGGTGTAACTTCGGGTAAATTGACTTTTTAAAATATACTTCATGTTTCTTACTAATGAAAAGGCCAGAGTGGCACTTGCTCTGCTCATTTCCCAGAGTGAGAAGGAAGTGTTTGCCTTGGCCAAGACTGTTCCCGAGCTTTAACTCTCTAATTTGTAGACTGAGGTGTCCCTTTTGGATCCAAAGGTTTGGATATTATTGTTTGTTGTTTAAAAAACCGACAAGAATGTTTCCCCTTTGCAGCGCTCATCATATGAACATTTTCCCTCCTAACCAGGCAGTGGCAGTGGTGCAGAATGGCTGACCTCAGTCTTGCAGATGCACTAACAGAACCACCTCCAGAAATCGAGGGAGAGATTAAACGGGACTTTATCGCCACCCTGGAGGCAGAGGCCTATGATGATGTCGTGGGAGAAACTGTTGGGAAAACAGACTACATTCCTCTGCTGGATGGGGATGAGAAGACGGGGAATTCGGAGTCGAAGAAGAAACCATGCCCAGACACTAGCCAGGTTGAAGGTACGTAATTAAGCCAAACTGGGTATATAGGTGCAGAACGCAGAGTAGGAATTACACTTTGGATTACAATCTTGGAAACCTTGAGGAAACGGAACTGAGTTGTTAAGTATAGGCCAGTAACTTTCCCTTAATCTAAACTTCTTTATTTGAAACCAAGGAGCCAGGTTCATACGCTTTAATAGGCTGTGTGTTCATTATACTGTAGATTACTTTTTAAAACTATATATGTTTTTATTGATTTCAGAGAGGAAGGGAGAGGGAAAGAGAAATAGAAACATCAATGATGAAAGAGAATTATTGGTTGGCTGCCTCCTGCAGGCCCCCTACTGGGGATGGAGCCCACAACCCAGGCATGTGTCCTTGACCGGAATCGAACCCGGGGCCCTTCAGTCTGCAGGCCGACACTCTATCCACTGAGCCAAACTGGCCAGCGCTCTGTAGAATGTTTTAATCTAAGATAGTGGTTCTCAAAGTATGGTCCTTTGACCAGCAGGTCAGTATTACTTGGGAGCTTGTTCAGGTTGCAATTCTTAGGCCCACGGGGAATGTGCGACTCTGGGGATGGGGCTGCGCAGTCTGCATCTTAACAGACTCCTGCCGGTGACTTGGATGCACGTCCCGGATGGAGAAGCTTGACCCAAGAGAACGGGTTCGCGGCGCGCCAGTCGTAGAGAGATGACAGCTGGATGCTGCGGAATGTCTTCTTGTTCAGCCTTCCATTGCCGAGCATCACAACCAACTCTAGTTGGCCACCAGAGGGCGAGATTGGCACAGGCCTCACTGGCACAAGAAGGTGCCCTTGTGTTGGGACCATGCTGAACCTCTCCCGTTCTGCCCAAAGACGCATGGCTGTCTTCCTCGCAGCACACACGACCTCTCAGCACGTTGCTGCTGCTCTTCTCTGCCAAACTGATTTGCCAGCTGTGGCACCCCGAAATCTCTCGTGGAAAAAGAGATTTAAAAACCCAAGTAAATTGGAATATTCTTACATCTCAGAGCGTGCGATAAGTTAAAAACAACACTTGTGCTGTCAGTGTTTTGTTGAGAGTTTCCATTTCATGAAATGGGAGTCCCTCTGGGGAAATCCGTGAAAAAAGGCAAGAGAGCATCTTTGAGTTCGGACTTGCCAGTGACGCACAGCATCCCAGTGATGGGTCCAGCAATTCTCGTCCGCAGGGAAGCCTGCAAGCCCTTTTCTTCCACTAAAACCTAATGTTTTTCTGTTGCAGGATTGTTTTTGTTCTTCTCTCCCTGAGCTTAGAGTTTTAGATCATTAGCTGTGTGTATGGTAGAATCTCAGTCTCTTTTTTATTTTCAATTTTCTTGTAACCTTTGTTTTCCTGTTATTTCATTTTATTCTGATAAGTTGCTTGTATATTAGTCTCACAATTATGGCCTAGTCTAGTAATGTCATTTAAAGCTAGATTTTTATATAAGGCAAAAGTAAATTTCAGGGTTTTCACAAGGTTGCTTTATAATTTAGTGATCGAATCTATAGTTATCTATAGTTGGGCTATAGTTTAACCAATCTATAGTCAATCAATCTGCAGTTATTAACAATGAGAATAATAATAGTTGTTTACATTTACTTACCAATTGGCACAGTTCTGCCTCCAGTATCATTGCACTTAGTCCTCATGATAACCATGGGAGGGAGGGATTGTCCCATTTTCCAGTTGAGGCTATTAAGGCTTAGCAAGCACGAGGGATTTGCAATTGATCATTTAGTTAATAGTGACAGAATCATAACCTGTGCCCAGATGTTCTGATTTTAAACTTACATTCTTTCTGTGAAACCTTACTATCTTCACGCATACTTTCCACTTGATTTACTGTCTCATAAAGATTCACTTATTATTAGCCATACAAATATTATGTCCAGGAAAGGTAAGAATCTCGTTTTATTTACATAAAGAGCATGAACGCGAGGACTCTGCTGTGAATTCATATGCATTTTTAGTCTTCCACTTCTCTGTTCAACTCCACATCGTCTCCTCTCTGTTCGAACCTCTAGGACTTCCGTACTTGCTCCCCTGTTCATGTTTTCGATTGACCTTGAGAAAAGAGACTCAGTAGTCTCAACCAGAAGAACACTTCAGTACACCCCTGCCCCCCTCCTCTCCTGCCTACCTTCATCTTGGCCTTTTACGCTGCTCTGCTCTTCTTGTTATGGGTGCACTGCTCGTACTCTAACTCAGGAGCACGACTCAGCAATGATCTCCTCTGTCTTCTGCATCACCAGCGCCTCTCTTTTAACTGGGTCGTTCACCAGCATCAACAGAACATAATCTTTTCCTTCATTGAAAAAATGCTGTCTCAACCCCATGTTCATCTCATCAACTCACTTATCTTCTCTGGAAAAGCGATCTCCCAATCCCTTCCCTCTCATTCTCTTTCGAACCCTCTCCCATTTGACTTGCACTGATCCCGTGCCACCAGAACTGTTCCTCTTAGGGCACAAGACCTGTTTATTGTCAAGGATGACTCCAAGGGTTTGGGCCTGAGAAACTGAAAGGAAGGAATTTCATAAAAAAAGCAGCATGATATTTTTTTAAAAATTATATTTTAATTGATTTTTTTAGAGAGAGAAGAAGGGAGAGGGGAGGGATAGAGAGAGAAATGTCGATGAGATGAGAGAGAATCATCATCGTTCAGCTGCCTCCTGCATGCCCCCTACTGGGGATAGAGTGCCTCCCTGGCATGTGCCCTGACTGGGAAATCGAACCCATGACCTCTTGGTTCCTGGGTCGACGCTCAACTGCTGAGCCATACCGGCTGGGCAGCATATTTTTGTAAAAAAAAATTTCTTTAAAATTTTTATTTGAAAATACATCTCTTAACTAATTTCTTTTGGCAAAAGAAAAAGAAATAGTACCAAGAGTTATAGTTCATAATAATGGTCCTCTAGTCTAAAAGAAAAGCAGAGCCCTGGCCAGTGTGGCGCAGTTGGTTGGAGTGTCATCTCATACACCGAAAGGTGGCGGGATCAGTTCCCAGTCAGGACACACACCCAGGTTTCGGGTTCAATCCCTGGGCGTGTGCAGGAGGCAGCCAATCAGTGTTTCTCCCCGAAGGCGATGCTTTCCTGTCCCTCCATCTTTCTCTGTCTTTCTCTAAAAATCAATTTAAAAAAAAGAAAGAAAGAAAAGAAAAGCAGATATTTCTTAAAAAGAGGTTAATTGGTCAGGCTCTTTCTGCAGCTGAGAACTTCTGAGTTGCACAGGGTAAAGATATCAAAGATATAAACCACCTACCTGTAAACGACCATCCTCACCCAGCTATCTTCAATGTCTTCCCCACCCTTTTCCTTCACCTAAAAGCTTCTCTCTGCTTCGGCACAGACTCCACCTGGGCTGGAGCACGTTTGTTTCTTACAAGCACGTTTCTGACTCTGGCAGTGTGCAGACCTCTTTGTGCTGGCACGGCCGAATCGCAGCATCTCCCCCCCCCCCCCCCCCCCAGGTTGAACCTCTGGTGCTGAAAACAAAGAAATAGCATCTGACTCGTGGTCTCTTGGTGTTGATCTTGTTTGAAATCTTGTTAATAGCTTTGTTCCCCTGATTATAAAAACAAATTTAACTGTTTGTGAAGAAAATCGAAAATTAAAGTATTTTAAAAGTATAATCTCTAATACTTTTGTTTCATTTTTAGAAATTTTAGGTTAACTTAGGTGTTCCTTGACTTGCACTCTCCCTCCTTATCTGCTATTCTGCCACCCATATACTGCTGGCAATCACACTTATTCCAGTTCATTCATTCTTTAAGCAAATGCTTATTGAGAACACTATATCGCTACAGAGGGAAAAAAAGGAACCCAAAACTAGAGACCTTAAGGAGTTTACAGTTCATTAGGGAAGATAATCAAGTGCCAAAAGCAAGGGCACACAAAGAATTGTGAGGTAACATCTGCTTGCAACACTAGGGGCAGAACAGCATCTTGTCTTCGGAAGGGAGGGAAGTGTAGGACCCGAGGCTCAGTGCAGGTGCTTCAGGTCTGTGCATGTGGGAGCCGGAAGCCAGGGAGGAAGTCTCTTCTGACAGGGTCATATTTTCTCTGAAATGGGGGAGGTCATATGCTGATGAGTGGATGGAAGGGGCTGGAGGTTTGAGGAGAATCCGGTGGTTTACAATAGACATTGTAAAGTGTGGAAGAATGAGTTTATAAGAAATGTTTGGCAAGTAATGGTTGGGAATGATGAATTCACAGTGTGTCAGTCTGCCTTTGTTTTGGAAACATAAACCAGCCATTTTTTTCTGGGTAGACTGGGTATGACTATGGGAATCTCTGTACCAACATTGCAGTTTTCCCATAAATTTAAAAATATTCAAAAATAAAATTTTTGTTTAAAATAAAATTCAGATAAGTGACTCCCATGTAATCCTATTTATTTCTCAAGAGGAAGTAGATCTTACAAGATTATGTTTTTTTGTATTTACATATATAGTCAGAAAATTATTGGCCTTGGTTCTATACAAATGGGATCAAACCATATACATTATTTATTTTTCTTTTTAAAAAAATATTTATTGTTGAAAGTATTACATATGTCGTCCCCCCCCCCCCCCCATAGACCTCTTCCCAGGCTCCCCCCCCCCACCGAGGCCTCACCATGCCTGCTGAAGGGTAAAAGCGAAGGAAAAAATGCCATCCAAGTGTTTGAGAGAGCTGATCGCGCCAGGCAAGCCCCCCAATCGAGATTTGACGGCGCAGAAGTGGGACAAGCTATGAGGAGACACCGGGTTATCCATTGCTATGAAGCATCAAGGGAGGGTGGAGAGGAACAACAGAAGCTGCGGGGCGTGACAGGTTGATGGTCTGCGAAGCCAGAGTAATAAAAAGGAAAGATAGATTGAGTGTAAACAGTCGTAGAAGGAGCATAACTTGTTTTTGTATAGTGCACGAACGAGATATGACACGCTGGGAGTAGGACGATGCACCCGTGCATCCTATTGATTCCTCGTTTATTGTTTTAGAAGATCACCAACCAAAATAAGTACGTCACAGAGATATAAGTCTAGACAAGGGACGATGGATGAAAGAAGTACGAA